TTGTGAATGCTGAGATGCTGGGGCGCATGGAGTGTCCCACAGAATCACGGGGGGGCTTCCCAGCACATTCAGCAGCAGACCTGGAAGTGAACCAGAAGCACTTCCGGTCCATTTCCAGGTCTGCTGGTGACTGGTGCCTCCTGGGTGTGTGTGTGTGTGGGGGCAAATGGGGTCCCCCCGTGCCTGAGCTGGGGAGGCACAGGCCCCCCCCCCGCACGCTCCCCGGCAGACCCAAAAGTGGACTGGAAGTTCTGGGTCTGCTGCCGAGCGTGCTGGGGAGTCCCCCGTGCTTCTGTGGGACACTCCATGTGCCCCAGCATCTCAGCATTCACAAACTACCTGCTACCTAGAGGTATGCAGAAAAAACTGTTAAAGCTGTGTCTATGTCCGAATCTCTGATTCTCTGAATTGGCATTGAATCTTCAGATTCAGGTTCAGCCAAATTGAATCGGGGACAGTGATCCAAATCAACGAATTGAATCACTGTCCCTGATTCGGGCCAAATCTGAATTGAATAGCGCCCACTTTGCACACCCCTATTTTCCATCATTTAAAATTAGATACTGTACTGTATCTCACCTATAAACTTCTCTTTAACATTACTTTGAAGTAGTTGCTGAACACTATTTTTTTTTTTAATTTTAAGACTGAACCACAAAACAACATAAATAGTCCCTTAAGCTTACGAGTGACTACCAAAAAACTTTTTTTCTTGATTGATAACTATTCCTGTTTTGAGGATAGTTGGTTAGAGCTTTGAGATATTAGGAAGCATAAATGAAAATTGTTTTTAACACTGATCACACTGAGCTCTCTGCTTAGTTTTACATATTTTCATTTCATCATTTAAATGCTGGCACACTTAGAAATATAATGTATCCATACTCTGGGATACAGCAGTCAATCAAACATCTTTTGTTAGCATCAACCCCCTTTTCAGCTACAATATACCTCCTGATGTTGTTGGTTTTGTTTCTTACCCATTACTGTTTTCTTGTTGGCTTGCCTTAGACAGAGCAGGTAGAGAGAAACTATATCAAGGAGAAGAAGGCTGCTGTGAAAGAGTTTGAAGATAAGAAAATTGAGCTGAAGGAAAATCTGATTGCTGAGTTAGAAGAGAAAAAGAAGATGATTGAGAATGAAAAGCTAACCATGGAGCTAACCGGAGGTAAAACAAAATAAGAATCTGTCATTCTGCATTTTCTTTAAGTCAGTTTCAAAGTAGAGAAGCCAGTACACTATGGGTAGGCAGAATGTGGTTTTTTAAGTTCTCTACATGTTTGTTTTTAGAACACTAATTCTTGGCTTTTTAGTGGGCAAAGTATTTCAGAGTAAAGGTCCTTGGACTGGGCCGGCAGGGCCAACATGTAAATTAATAAGGCATCAGTGAAGGAATAAAAAATAAGATACTGTATTCTAATAGTTTCTTTTTTCCTTCAAAAAAAGATGACCTAAACACTTTCCAGGACACTTAATTTTTGTTTCATGTCTTTGATCAGTCACTACGATTCTTAACCTTTTTAGTTTTAGTATCTTTAAACTAATTGGGTTATATGGCTTAATTTTAAGGGATTTTGTAGGCACTCTTGAACATTACATCTGTGGTCTTAAACTTCTCTATCAGAAGCTCATAGAATTGGTACTGGAACACGTTCCAGAGCTGTGCCATGTGTTTCTGCTAGTGCTGTTGTGCTATTTCATGGCATAGTCACCTTGTAACTTCATCTGAAGAAGCTATTTGGGTAGAAGTCTAGGGATTACTTGATTAAAAATCATTTGGGAACATCATAGGGGAGAGTTTTGTTTTTTTTTAATGGCTTTCACCATTTTAGTGGGTGAAATGGTACAGAAATTATTACAAGTGTGACTAGGGCACTGTGTGGCATCCATGTCCATTTCTGTACCAGGGATGAGAAGTGGTGGTGGTTTTGTAGTGAGGCTGTGCCATTTTTATAGTTGCCTGGTCAAAATTCTTTTCTGTCATCTCTGAAAGAATCATGTGAAACTTTTATTTCAGTACCAGGACTTTAGCAATAATCAGAGATCAGAATGTATAGAGAGGAATCATGACTTTTTCAGCCTGTGCGCAAAAGGCGGCAGGATACAGTTTAAAAAAAAAAAAGGCTTGGGCAATAATGTTTTCTTTCCTTTTAAACTAAAATATGCTTACCTGTGTTATATCTCCCAGGAATTCTTTCTTTTGCCTTAGATGTGCTGCTTTATCCATTATACTCTGGAGAGATGCTCTTTTATTTTAAGCATTAGCATACAGTGCAAATTATTTGCAAGTTGTCTGATCTGACAGACTATCTGCTAATCGTGTACAGTATAGGTATGCAGACCACAGTTTCCTTACTTGAATACTTATTTCAATAGCACTCACATGCCACAAGCAGCAGTAAAGCAAGTAAAGTCCCTGCAGTTGGCTCTTCACTGTTGTAAGTATGTCTTAAAACAGTGGGTTTTGCATGTTAGAATGTACTAAATAAGATGCATAATGGTTATTTTCTCTAAATGTTAGAGGTGCGCTGATAAAGATTTTTTGGGCCAATACTGATAGCCAATTATTGACTGATATTGGCTGATTTTGATACGATTGCCAATATGCAGCATAGCAGCTTGGAGAGCAGCATCCTCCTGGTT